TTTAATAATTTTTTAATTTTTTATGAAAAGATATGTAAAAAAATGAAGAGAGTAATATAATAATTTATAATAATTTTTTGACTAAAACAAAAGATTGCCAAACGAGGTGTTAACACCACAACATTGAACATATTTGATTGTATTTTCAATTTTTGTATTTTTAAAAATAAAAATAATGAAAAGTTCAAAACTCATTTTTTTTTTAATTTCCTAAAAAAATGAGTGGTTTTCAAAAAAAAAAAATTCCAAAAACAGTTTTGGAAACAGTTTGAGCAAGAAGTTTATTTTCACCAAGGACCAAGAAAGAACATCTTCTCTGTTTTTGCTTTTTCCTCTTATCAGCTACCTATACTTGCATCAGAGGATTCACCAAATACAGTACCATGTATCTATCTTTTTTGCCTCTTTAAAAAAAAAAAATATTTATCAGTGCTTTGATTTTGACATCTTTAGAAGCATTAGCAAAAAGAAAGTGGGAGAATCAACTTCAGGAGACAAAGCTTACTTGAAAATAAAGTAAAATTAAAAGAAACAAACAACCAAACAAAGATATTCCACTAAATTTAACTGTAGATTGAAAGCTAATCACTAATTTATGATAGTGATAAAGTAATATGGCTGGCATCCACATAATTAGAGAGTCCTAATAAGATGCCTAAAGCGCGGCAAGATTAAAGCCCTTCTCTTAATTACTAATAATAATAATAATAATATTTAGAGTATTATGTTAAATTTCACTATTTTTGATCAAATTAAACTCTCTTTATTTGTAGGGTAACACATAGACATAAAGCTAAACCTTCAATTATTCACCTTTTAATAAGAAAACAATAGAAATAGATGGCATATATGTAATTAGATGATTTTGATTGTAATTGTAATTTATTTTTTTTAATTTATTTTTTACAAGCAAGTACTTGCAATTAGTTGTTTGCCCATGACAGTAAATCAAAGAAGCATAGCTTTCATCTATTTTGTTGAAAGAACTACCAACTATATGTATAAGTCCCAATCCAGAGGAGTAGATTGAAGCCAAATAAACAAAGCAATTGATTAAAAACAAGAAAAACAAATCAATTGATTGAAACTTTTTGGCTCAATCCCACCTAGTTCAAAATTCTCAGGCGATAAAGACATTCAACAATGTTACAGACTCAGAAATTTTGCATGGAGAAAATATTCAGAAAGAGCAGTTGTGATTCATTTTTTAAGTGTGAATCTCACTATATAAGAATTGAATCTAAACCACAAATCACAATTCAGAGTAAATTTCTTGATTTTTTTTTCCTGGGTATAACTATCTTTTTCTTATAGGTATTTATTTGGTGACATCCAATCAATCCATATAAAATGTCTCACAAACCTCTTAGATTTTCATTGAGACATATTTTTGAATTGAAAATAATGTAAGAGATGAATCAATTATGTGAGGGTCGGTTTGGCACAGTGATAAGTAGACTCATGAGTTCAAATTACGAAAACAGTCTCTTCATAAGATTGTATAATAACTTTGATAATTTCATTTGAAAAAATGAGAAAACCATTTTACCATCATATCTCTGGATGAGGACCCTCCTTCACAAACTATCAGCTTTTAATTTAGCCTCCTTGTTTCCTTAAAATTCAAAGAGAAAACTACTTCAATTCAACAATGATGATACACAGATATATAAATATTTATATTCTCTTCATGGGTCTGGGATTGAGTACTGATGAATTGCTTTTTTGTCACACAAGGACTGATCAAAGTCTGTATTGGGTTTTGACTACTCATATCATATCAAACATTTTAAAAGCCAGACACTCGGGTGGATTGATTGCTTTCTCTCTCTCATGTTGGAATGGATAGAGCTGAGCATTTTTCCCCCATGGTCCCCCTTCTTCCACCAAAGTTAATAAACAAAACATCCACCACAAAAGATGCAACTATTCTAGAAAAGGGACTAAGTGATACATGTTTGAATGTAAAAAATATAATAATATTTTTTTATTTACATAACTATTAAATTATTGATACAAAAACAATTAAAAGTATTATGTAAATCAAAATTTTAGGTGTAATTATAATATTAAAAAAAATCCCAAAATTTGACCCTTATATGAAAATAGAATTAAGTATTACGTAGATCAAAATTTTAGGTGTAATTAAAATAATAAAAAAAATCCAAAGTTTGATCCTTATAATAAAAATAAACTCTAAGTTTTCATTGTTTGGAATGATCTAAATAAGTGTACTTTTTAACTTTTTACGAAAAGATATGCAGAAAATTAAATAGGTGATATGACCTAAAAAGATAAAAAGTACGCTTTTTTATTACACCTCAAACAATGAAACATTGTCTATAATATCATTTTTTTTTGTTGATTGTACTTAACGAAAATAGGTAAATAGTTTAGATTGAAAACGAATGAAAAGATTACGATTTAAATTGATAAAATTAAAAACTTATGATTTATTCTGTTATAAGGGTCAAACTCGAAAATTTCTTTTGTAATTACTCCAAAATTTTAAGAATGATCAGGCAATTATATCAAAATTATGAAATATACTGTACTTTCTTCAAATCTAAAAAAGAATCAACTTAATTTACCCTATTTAATTTTAACTAGTGACTTTAACTAGCATGCACTAAACTAAGGGACTCTGACTTAGTTGGCTAGCCTTTTGACCATCAAGTCTCTCCTAAGGAGAGGTCTCGGATTCCACTTTTAGGAGTAGAGTGGGAGGGTAAGATTTTTTTTCAAGGTGTATAAGTGAGAGTTTCAACTCTTTAGATATGTTAATTTAACAACTAACTATTGACTTTCGCCGATAAAAGAATAAAATAAAAAAAACTAGCATGCACTACAATATTACTCTATTTAGCTAGTTATTTTTTACTAATCATTATTATTATTAGCATGCACTACAATATTACTCTATTTAGCTAGTTATTTTTTACTAATCATTATTATTATTAATTAATTAATTAATAAGTTTCAAGAAAAGACCCAAAAAAATGACGAGGCAAAGAGGGGATGAGATTGAGGAAAGAATTAATTTCTTAGTAATGATAAATAAAACATTTATACATAATAATGTGGCTTATTATAAATCATTCACTTTAAAATAAAAATTATTAAAAATATATTTATTTATAATAATGGTATTACCATATTATTTTTGTAAATTTTTTTTATTAATTTTATGTATGAATAAAATTTTCTTTATTTTTTTAATATTTTGCTAGTGAGTTTTAACTAGCTAAATTTATCTAGTAAAAGTAGCTAAAATACTTAACAGGATGTAGCTAAAATACTTAACAGTATGTATTTATTAGTCTAACAATTATATCAGCAAGCATACTAACTAATTAAATCAAGACACAAGACTTGCATTTGGATTTTGTGACTCACTTATATATTTGTTATTATTCCTAACATTATTTGTTATTTATAAAGGATACAACAATATATTTATGCCATGTTTGATTAGTAGAATTAATAGTAAAGGGATTAACAATCCGTAAAATTAGGAATTGTTTGGTAAGTGCTGGATTAGTATACTTTTTTACGAAAAAACGTAAAATATAAGTTAAGTTGAAATGATATAATAGAGAGATGATGTAGCACATGCCAAACAAGCATAATCAGGATAATCAAAATTACAACAAAAAAAAACAATTGTTATACTCATGAATTAATAATTTCAATCTTAAGTTATAATTCGTCCAATCAAACAAACTCTTAACTGATTTGAGTAAGTCCCATCTAAAAAAAAATTTAAAATGTATTGAGTAAGCCTGAATTCTTTAGCATACAGACGTATATGCAGCGACAACAACAGTACAATCTTAGTGCATTTCAAAAACTGTATCAGATCAGCAGCATGTCTCCTTAAAGCTACATCAAAATCTCTCTTCTTGATCCTTTCCCACTACATTTATCAGATCTTTTTAGGTCTCACAGCACATGAACAATATACATTATCTTCAGGCTTTGCAAGTATGTGCATGTCTCGGAATCCTTGCATCCAACTTCATATCATATTTTATTATCCAAAAAATTTAATTAAATTAAAAAATAAAATAAAGTACTCACTGCAGTGATGATGATATATAGGTTAGGCTAACGTTAATTCAGCTACTAGTAAAAACCATTGTAGTCAAAACAAAAACAAAAACAAAAACAAAAAAAAGTGCTAATCACGGGTTCTTTTCTCTTCAAAAAAATTGGACAAACACGGAAGCTTCTCAAATATTTCAAGATTTCTCCCTGATTTTCGCATGATTGATTGTGAGGGACAAATATTTGAGATGCTGCATGCTTCAAAAGAATCATGAGCCAAAACATTTGATCTATTGGGTTTAGAGGTTCCAAGCGTTCAAAACAAACCAACATTGCGCGGCTCACCATCTCATAATGGTAAAAATACGCACAACAAACACAAACTACAGTAGAACCCTAAAGATTTGGCTAAACAATACTTCTTCATAGCCCCATCTGGTAAGCCTAGAATCCAATCAAAAAACAAAGTGACATTTTGAAAAGTTGGTAAAAAACTGACCTTTTGATTTTTTTAATCTATTTTATCTTTTTATGAATAAAAAATATAAGAAATAATGGATTCGTTTGGTTTGTATTTCTGAAAAATTTTTGAAAAATTCTCTACAAATAAGTTTTTAAAAGTAATCAAACCAAACAAATTTTCCCCAAAAATTTTTTCAAAACTTGTAAACCAAACAAGTTTTCCAAACAAATCTCTCTCTCACACACATCAAATCAATCACTTTTTCCAAAACTCTCTCTCAAAATAATTTTCTAAAACATCTTTTGAAAAAAACAAAACCAAACAACTTTTCGTACTTTTTATCTCTAAATCGCATCTCTCAAACACAAACCAAACATACCCAATATGTCTCAAAATGAATAAAAAGCTAGCTTTTTACTGGGTTGCCAAAGCACATCAATGATAAGTTGAATAACAAAAACAAACAAAAAAAATAAAACGAAATTCATCATGCACAAAAAACATATTCATATTAATAAGTTTCTCTTATAAATACCAGATAGTCAACTAAAACCACAGATCATCGAACCGCAACAAGCATAACTGGAAAGAAATCAAATATAAAATCCAACTTATTTAAATAGAAAAAACACATAATTGACAACATAGCAGAGAATACTGCTTACTCCTAAGAACACTTATTTTTTTGTAGATAAAGAAAGCATATAAAACATAACCCTTGAAAAACTACTCCTTTTCTTCTTCATCTTCCTCTTTCCAACCACCCTTCAGAATAGATCGAGGAGATCCACAGCCAACAATCTTGACAAACTTCTGATACACAATTGAACCACCCATTCCAAGCTCTTCATAGCTCACATCTCCGAGGCAGTAGCCCTTCACACCAAGCAAACACGTCTGCTCCACTAGTGACTTCATCCCAACATCAGCATGCACAGCTATAGAGAATTCACTTGGAAGAAAACATGCCAATGCTCTCTCCACCAGATGGTCAAGTTTCACAACTTTCAGATCATATCCAACCGTTTCAAAGCTTGCATAACTGAAACCATCCTCCGGTGTAACGTGAATGGTTGAAATTGCAGCTCCTTCAATGGAATTCATGGAATAACCGCAGGGATCAAAATCAAAATCGCATATTTGAGAATCTGGAAGAATCTTTCTTATACCAGAGGAATAGGTCATTGAAAGAAGCAACTTTGTCGTCCCACATGTTTTGATAATGAACTTGTAAGGATAAACAAAGAGGCTCGACTCAGACAGAACATAAGAGTCGACAAGGTCATTTGAAAGTGAAGAAACAATAGTGCACTCAGCAGGTTCAAGTATTTCATCCAACTGAGATTTGGAAAGAGAACGAAGGCCCCTTCCTTCAGGATCAGCAAATATGCTGGGCTCAAGAAAGGAAATTTCAAGCCTCTTTTCATAACCCTCAAATCCAATTGCAGAGACTGCCAAGGCCATGTTGACTGAACAAAATGATTAGAGCCACAAAGAGAGCAAACAAAAAAGTGGTCGATTGAAGAAGAAAAGGAGACAAGGGATTAAAACTAAAGCAGCAATATTATTTAACACCACGCCAAATGACGTGATGGGGAAACCAACTTAAGCGATATCAGGATGGTTTGCGAGCGCACTGCACATGGAAGAAAAAAAATAAAATCACGATGTTAGCAATAATTCATCAATTATTATTGTCACAAGGAATTCCAATCACAGGCAAGTATTATTAGCATGCACTAGTATTACCATCAACCAGAAACTTACGTTGGAGTATGCAGCAGATCTGAATTTCTTGATTCCACCGTTGGGACGAACGTCTTCAATGCTGTATCCAAGGGGAGCTTCGTAGAATTGAGATTTACTACTACTACTAGACTTCTTTCCACCTTTAGACTCCATTATATCATTCAGTCTTCCCTGATTAGACATTAAAAACAAAAAAAGCGCCATATCAGAACTGATTATAAGATGATAAAAGTAGAGCCATTCGTCTCCCAGTAGAAGTAAAAATGATTAGAAGCTGACCAGAAAACTCAAAAAATAATGTCACTGCATGGGTATGAACATTTACATGAATGTAAAATTGCTTAAATTAGGTCGCAAAACACGAGATGAAAATATAGAAAGCATAAAACATATCTTCCATTGTCTTGAAAAACAAAGGAATATGTAACATGAAGTATAATCAAAAGAAATGAGAAAATAAAATTGTTATTTCACCATGTTAATTCTAAATACAAAAACTTTATACAACATACACGAGCCTTGTCATCAAAAGTAAGTTCAAGCAAGAAACACAACTGACAGTTTGCTCATTGGTTTTGATAACAGTAACTAAATAACTTCAATGAAAATAAAATAAAAGGAGATAAATAGAAATGTGAGCAACTTGCTCATTCATTCTCACTGTATGCAGGGTTTTGATATTGGCCATTACATATCGAATCGCCAAGTTCGTAATACAATTTTAGACTACAAATACTTTATTCACTAATATATCAACTGATATTGTCCGATATCGACCAATATATGACCATATCGTCAAATACCAAAACATATCTTGGTACCGTTATTTAAAAACATATTGTTCAAAATTATAATATTGTTACGCAGTAACAAGCTCCTATAAATAAATTCAAAAAAATAACTTTTTATACCATGATATCTATCAATACAATGAAATATAATCTAACTCATGGGAGAAGCATTCCATTAAAAAAAATAATAAACAAAACATAAGATGCATGACTGAAAATACAGAACCATCCCAAGACACCTTTACTACGAAAACCTCCAACTGTTAAAAGCAAGACTCTGACGTCAAAAGGACATGAAAAATTTAGTCTACATTATGTGCCAAGACATCAAAGATACAACTCTAAACAATCATGTTGCATTATAAAAATATAATAATAAAAAGAATATGAAAGACATACATGTATTTTCCTCTCTTTTCCCTCAAACCTAATCGGAGAATAGCTTTTACAAAACTTTATAAATCTTAATTGACCTCGATAACCAAAACTCCACGGTACAGTTTCAAAGCAAAACATATAAGTACTCAAATTTGAACATAACCAAAATCGCTACATAAATTCAACAAACACCAACCCGAATCCATTACACATATGCATACATATTTATATATGAAGAAAATTAACAAATCTTGAAAAACAAATTCTCAATACAAACAAATCCAAAATCAATAAAAAAAGAAAAAGAAAACCCTAATCTAACCAACGGATACAGATCTAAACAAAAAAACACACACAAAAAAAAAAATCATACTTACAAATTCAGAATTCGAAATGGAACCAAGCAATCACCGTATACTCACGAATCGACCTTCCACAAACCCTAGAAATCGCGAATCAGCATAAATCAGAAAACAAAGAGTATAGAATCACAAATACAGATATACATGTATGTAGAGGTCGTACTTACAATTGAATTTGAATATAAACAAGAATAGATGTGGATTTGCGTAGAAGAAATCGAAACCCTAGATATTGGAGGACCGCTTGGCTGTTCTCGTTTCCTATCGCGATGAGGGTGAGAATGATGTGACCTCTCGCTCGGATGCGATTATTTATAGTCCGAGCCATTGACTTGATTTTGAAATTACCGCTATGCCCTTGAGGTTTCGTGTGGACTTTCCTACCAACCAAAATAACTAAATTGCCCCTCTTATGTAATCCAAGTCATTAAGGAAAGACCAAAAAAAAAAAATGCAAAAATTAATGGAGATAACTTACTTTACAAAAAGGGAGATTTGGATTATTTTTTAGGATATGGCGTGGGTGTTGTGCGGTCATTTGTACATGTTTTGGGGTTTGTTTTTTAATATTTTGAATCGCTTTATTGAGTAAAATATATTTATAAAAAAATTAAGTTTATTAGATATCGTTAATCTTTATATCGAATCTTATTTATATTTAGTTTTATACTGCAAATCAAATTTGTTACTTGTAAATATAAATGTAATTTGATAAAATGGTTAACGATATCCAATCAACTTGATTTTTTACAAGTATAATCTACTCAATATATTCTAAAACATGAATTGTTCGAATTATCAAAACAGACCCAAATGATCGCACAACAATGGCTTATGTGCCTCCTACATAGCAACCACACTACATCCTTATTTTTATTGGAGGTTTTGTTTGGGATAAGCTCCATTTTATATTTCATCTTTACATATTTATTCATATTCATCGAATTTTAATTCGGATTCACGTTTATGATTTGAATCGTCTACTTCGTAGACTTATAGTAAAAGTTAATCATTCAAAAAATTAACAAACAACTATAACACAGAAACAAATCATATTTTGTTTTATAAAATAGATACTTTAAGTTTACAATCTTATTTATTGTTCATTTTATAAAACAAAATATGATTTATTCTTATATTTATAAAAATTGGATAATGTATCGATAACCTTTATTGAAGGGTATATGAGATAGACAATTCGAATCATTGATGTGAGCTCAGATTGGGGTCTACAAAAGGGAATGAGGTTACTGTTGTGCCTTGTTCCTCAATTAGAGGTTTATTATTGTGACGCCCCAAATTTTTTTTTAAATCTCAAGGGAAATTATATAAACAAAATGACTTAATAAACTAAAAAGTTAACATCTTAATAGGGTAATCCAATTCTCGTACATAACCAAACGCCCAAATAACAATAGATAAAAACTTAAAATTATCCAAATACAACATCAAATGAAATTACAAAGTCCTTAATATCTATTATATAACATAATATAATTTACTCGGCTCTACTCGGGGTTTCAGGTCAGCCAAGGCTCTACGTTAGCATCGACTCCATTTCAGCTTCAATTGTTTTCTCGCCAAGACCTGGCATAAAACGCCAGGGCAACAAAAATATATGCCATGAGTTTTGCAACACAGTAAGAAAACATAACCAACCTGAGGTTTCGTGTGGACTTTCCTACCAACCAAAATAACTAAATTGCCCCTCTTATGTAATCCAAGTCATTAAGGAAAGACCAAAAAAAAAAAATGCGAAAATTAATGGAGATAACTTACTTTACAAAAAAGGAGATTTGGATTATTTTTTAGGATACGGTGTGGGTGTTGTGCGGTCATTTGTACATGTTTTGGGGTTTGTTTTTTAATATTTTGAATCGCTTTATTGAGTAAAATATATTTATAAAAAAATTAAGTTTATTAGATATCGTTAATCTTTATATCGAATCTTATTTATATTTAGTTTTATACTTCAAATTAAATTTGTTACTTGTAAATATAAATGTAATTTGATAAAATGGTTAACGATATCCAATCAACTTGATTTTTTACAAGTATAATCTACTCAATATATTCTAAAACATGAATTGTTCGAATTATCAAAACAGACCCAAATGATCGCACAGCAATGGCTTAAGTGCCTCCTACATAGCAACCACACTACATCCTTATTTTTATTGGAGGTTTTGTTTGGGATAAGCTCCATTTTATATTTCATCTTTACATATTTATTCATATTCATCGAATTTTAATTCGGATTCACGTTTATGATTTGAATCGTCTACTTCGTAGACTTATAGTAAAAGTTAATCATTCAAAAAATTAACAAACAACTATAACACAAAAACAAATCATATTTTGTTTTATAAAATAGATACTTTAAGTTTACAATCTTATTTATTGTTCATTTTATAAAACAAAATATGATTTATTCTTATATTTATAAAAATTGGATAATGTATCGATAACCTTTATTGAAGGGTACATGAGATAGACAATTCGAATCATTGATGTGAGCTCAGATTGGGTCTACAAAAGGGAATGAGGTTACTGTTGTGCCTTGTTCCTCAATTAGAGGTTTATTATGAGCTTATTTTTATGATTCGAACCGTTTATTTTGTAGGGTCCGTTGAGTATTTTATACCTACAAAAAATCATGTTAATCGAATATCAATAACTATATAATCAAATTATAGTTATCATAAAAAAAAAAATAAGTTTTTCTTTTCAGAAATAACATAAAAAAATATGCAATTCAATCATATAGTTATCAATATCCGATTAATATGATTTTTGGTAAGAATTAACAACTCAACGAATCCTACAAAATGAATAGTTCGGATCATAAAAATAAGCTTATAATAAACCTCCAATTGAGGCACAACAATTACTAATGTGCCAAAGGTACAAGAGTAACCCCATTCTCTTACAAAAGAGGTATAGATGAGTAGGAAGAGATAAAAGTATGGTAAGGAGCTCATTCCTTTTTGTTTATTTTGTTGAAAAAAATAAATCTAAGATTTTATTGCAAATATATATTTTGTAAACACACGAAATTTACGGAAATTTTCATTTATTTGGTTATATTAGAATCTCAATAAGGAAAATCTTCATTAATCAATATTTATTTAACTTTCATATATATAGACATATGTTTCTATACATAATAGATATCGTATTTGTAATGAATTTTTCAAATCTTTGAATTATTTGGTTATATTAGAACATCAATATCAAATTAGTTATTTTCATTTTTTAGCTAAAATAGTGAATAAATTACCAAATTTGACCTCTATCAAACTAATTATCAAGTTAACCATTTTAATTTTGATGGTTTTGACTCAATAAATGTAGCTAGTAGTTTACCTTAGCCAAACATTTAAAAAGTATTTTTCCTGTTTGATTTGAATTTTCATAATTTACTTTTTAGAAAATTAAATTTTTTTATTTTTCATATTTTTTTAATTTTCACTTATTTTTTTAACATTCTAAGATTTTTTTTTTTAATTTTTAGATACACCTAACATAAATTCACTTAAAAAGTATAATATATGTGAAAAAAATATTTAAAAAATTCACTAAATACCAAAAATATTATAAAAAAAAAACAAGAATTCAATACATTCTTCGTATTCTTGTGTATTTATTATTTTTTAAAAAATATTTTTTATGCATTTTTATTTTTAGATACATCTAAATATGGTACATCTAAAAAAGTAAAAAAATTGCTTAAAATTTTTAAAATATACACTAAAAACAACCCCAAAAAAAAGGGGAAAAAAAAACAAAAAATACTTAATTTTCAAAATATTGAATTTAGAAAATTAAAACCAAACACACTGATTACTTTTTATATTTTAGAATTAATTGTGTTAGGTTTATTAAAAACTAATTATAAATTGAAATAAATAAAATAATATTTAAATAGTATAGAAAAATAATAAAAAGTTTATTGTAAAATGTATTTAAAAAGATGTAAAATTAAAATTAAAGGGAAAAAAAAGTAACTTTTAAATTAAAACAGAACAAAATTTTAACTAATTTGATATTGATACTCTTAGAACATCTTCAACGGAGGAAGCAAAAGAGCATCCTCAGATATTTTTACTAGTACAACTAATTTGCTCCTCCTCCAAGGGCTTCTACATCATAAGAGACAAAATGTCCATTTTGATTTTAGCTCTTCACAACTAGCTAGCTTTCATTGACAGGCAAAAAGGTTTCTCGCTGAAATTGTTCCCTCCATTTGATCAAGACCTCTTCTTTTTATTAGTTTTGTATTTGTATGTTGTATTCAATTGATTTGGTTTTGTGTTTATATGGCTTGGTTTGGGAAGTGGGTTAGCTTTTTGGCTTTTTGACTTTTTTGGCTATTTTAGCCTGGGCTAAAAAGCTTGGTTTGGGAAGGACTTTTTGGCTTTTTGGCTTTTTTGACTTTTTTTGTGAGAGAAGAATGTAATGATTATAGGTTGGATGTGATGTTTTGTTTGTTATGGCTAAAATAGCCTATTTTGTTTTTTGTGGCTAAAATAGCCAAAAAAGCCCCATTTAGCTCTTGCCAAACGGAGGCTAAAGCAGTTGCAATTCAAAATAAATAAATTTAATTTAATTTAATTTAAATTAAAAATAAATAAATAAAAGGATGGAGAAAAATTTGGAATGAAATAATGAATTGAAAGAGAATTGATTTATTTATTTAGATGGATAGGAGAGTAATTACAAATATAATAATTATTTTCATCACAAAATATAGAAAAATGAGTGAGACTTTTAAAAAGAGAACTCTAATGGAGTACTAATTTGTCTTTTTTTCCCTCATGTTTTGTCTTTTATCTCACTATTTTTTTTTTTTTAATTTTATATGTGGTGCTAGCTCATTAGAGCTGTTTTGGAGCAACTCTAATTAGAGCTCTGTTGCAAAACTATAAAATATATCACTAGTCCGCAATAATTATATTTTTTTTTTAATTTTTTGAACGGGTTATATGGATCCTGAACTTTTTATACATTATTCTCAAATTTTTGTGTAGCCATATTTTCCCTTTTCCTATCTACCCAAACAACCCGTGCCTCATTGCATCCCATCTCTGTTCAATATAGTCAATTTTTTTTTTATGATCCTGAACTTTCTATCTCTATATCTCTTTATCTTTTCCTTTTCTATCTCTTTATCTCTTCATCTTTTCTTTTATCTTGTTATTTTCATTATTCTCAAATCTTTGTATAGCCATCTAATACAACTACTACTACTATGTACGAACACGAAATAATGTTCTCGTATAATACTGTTGATTAAGTTTACGCTTCCTCCAAACG